TAGATAGATAGATAGATAGATAGATAGATAGATAGATAGATAGATAGATAGATAGATAGATAGATAGATAGATAGATGAGGGACAGAGATATGTAGAATAGTTAGTCAATAGTCTGCCTATTGAAGAGTGTCCTGCAATTTTGTTTTTCTTTATTTTCTCCTTCTTTAGTTATTAAATCACACTATTTTATCTTTCATATGTGGAGAAAAACTATGACATTCCACGTAATGTTCCTGGGCACTTATGACAGCATTCAAAGCAAAGTTGCGTCATGTTCCTACAAACTTCTAGAGGCTGCAGGATATTTTTATTGCTCTCTGAAGACAGCGGGAAGGTTAAAATAGCAGAACGATGTTTCTGTGTGGGATGACAATGCGCATCTCTGACAAGCTGCTATTCAAAGCTGACCTCTGGGCTTCATCACTAGCTGCTTCTCCCTCCTTTGACCCTTGAAAATCAGCTGCAGCATCTGCCTCTTTCAAAAGCGGCCCCATCCTGACCTTCCTCTTTCTTCTTCTCAATCTGGAGCCTTCAAGTTCTGTTGTCCCTCCACTGTCAATTTTGGTTAAGCTAAAGAGGATAGGAATAGTAAAGCAACATATCCAATCATTAGGTAACAATGAGTAACATTTTGGGCACCGTGATATAAAAAAGATGTTGAGATTCTAGAAAGAGTGCAGAAGAGCAACAAAGATAATTAGGGAACTAGAGGCAAAAACCTACAAAGAACAGTTCAAGTTTTGTACAAAGAACAGTTGCAGGAATTAGGAATCTCTATTCTAACAAAGAGAATGAGTAGGAGTGACATCTTCCAATATTTTAGAAGCTGTTGCAAAGAAGATGGGGTCAACCTATTTTCCAAAGCAGGACAAACTATTCTCTGAAGGCAGGACAAGAAGCAATGGATGGAAACTAATCAAGGAGAGAACTAACTTAGTTCTCTGATAGCGAGAACAATTAACTAGTTGAATAGCTTGCCTCCAGAAGTTTTGAGTGCTCCATTGTTTGAGATTTTTAAGAAGAGATTGGACATCCATTTGTCTGATTTAACTGAAATGGTATAGGGTCTACTGCAGGATCCTTTCCAACTCTGTTGTTCTGTTAACAAGCTGGAGAAGAGCCACTACAACCAGGGAATTCTCCCTTCAAACTCAACAGATTGATGGTGATGCAGAGCTCAAAGAAATATAAGAAATCATTGAAAAGTGCTTCGGAAAATATTAATATGTATTACGTGAAGTGTCTTTGGAAAAGAGACAGACATACAGTCAAAATATTAAAGTATAGAAAGCTGCACAAGTGAGTTTGGAGTAAGAGCGCCCAAAGTAGGGCCAAGAAGAGACTTGCTTTGCAACCCCCTGAAAACATGATTATTGTAAATCAGGGCAGTCCAACCTTGGCAACTTCAAGACTTGTGGACTTCAACTCCCAGAATTCTCCAGCCCCAACTACTTAACTGCTGTAAATCCACCTACTAGTAATGAGACTCTCCAAAACTTTTGACCCACTAATTCTATTTATCAACCATTCTTGGTATCAGGAAGATTGCTCCAAGTATTGGGAGTCAACAAAGGGGATCCAAAAAAGTCAAGATGGTGGTTGCGACTGTGAGTTTGAAGTTCCCCGATAAAGAGACATGATTTCAATCATGAAGTTATGGTTGGCATGTTGATTTTTTGAATACACGGGCATAGCCCTCTTGCAGAGGCTTCTGCTTGCAACTAAATGATAGTCCTCAAAACA